TTTTAAAAATTTTCGTGGCACTCTGGTTGAAAATCACTGGCTTAAGGGACCAGATGGTGAGAGAGAGGCAGCTGGGGTTGATACTGCAGAAGGAAAGAGTAATACAGAGGAACTCTCTGGGAGAGGCAGGGAACCATCTGGTGATGGGGAGGAGAAAGCCTGAAGGTGAGGGTGTGTGTTGCATGACTTCAGGAGCACCATTCACACTGTACTCTCTGTGAATGGTGCCTGTGAAGGTTGTAGAGTGTACAACCTGCACACTCGTACGTGGCAGTCCTGTCAGAGGGGCCCCATCTTTTTTTATCCATGCTAAAAGACTAAAAGGCTGAAAATGACTTGGGCTCCCTGAAGGAGGAATAAACATTAGCCCAGAGGCTCACCCAGCCTGGCAAAGGCCATCTCCATTGCTGGCTACCACAGGCTTAAGAAATAAGCAAATGCTCCTCCACCCCATCAGAAACTCAGCAGTGACTTGGTTCATAACATGAAGTAGTTGAAAGCCATGGGGCACAGGGTACCAGGTTTGAAGTTCACACCCCAGCTCTGCTGCTCCAGCGGTGTATGGTCCAGGGCGATCACTTGCATGGTTTCCCCTGAGATTAATCCCTATTCTTGCTACCTCCAAGTGTTACCTATGAAACTCAGATAAGAGGCAAGAGTGATTTGCAGCAGGTGTTATATATTCTTATCCCCACATTACAGAGAAGGAAACAGGCTCACAGCTGGAGTAGGTCCAAGTTCCACACAGAAACCCATTCCCTTTCCATTCATCCACCTGCATCATTGGTTTGGTGACTGTGGTCCTGAAGCTTTTCAGTGTCTCTCCTCTTCCCACCCCACTCTGTGTTCCCACCTCTCTTTCCGTATTCTTCCAGGGCAGAGGAAGACTCTGGAGACTGGCTGTAGTGTCCCTGGGTCCTCACGTGGCCCTGCCACTCCCTACAGTCCCCAGCTGTAATGTTCTGTCCAGGCCTCCCGTTCTCCTCCCTCATGTGGGGAGAGAGGCCATGTGTCTCTGCAGGTGTGTTGTTTGGGATTCTGCTGTGCTCACCTGTCCTGCAGGTAGGGAAAGGGATTGTTGATGCTTGAAGTAGCAGGTGTACCACCTCAGAATCACCTGGCCCCACATTTGATTCAAGCCTACAAATCCATTTTCTGCATGAACTAAATCAATTAGCCTGCACACTAACAGCAAGGGGCTAGCCTCACTCCCATCTCTAGCAGGCCTGCGGGGAAAGGTGGGAAGCAGGCTTAGTGAGACAACTGTAGGTTTGTGGGGCCGGCTCTGGGGTCAGGCCCTGCCACTTAGGGCTCTGTGGTCTTTGACCATTTCCTCAATCTCTCTGCATTTGTTTTCTTCTCCCTAAAACACGATACTGCTGATTTGTGGGGTGGTCAAGAGGGTTTGCTGAGATAACCCAGCCAGGTGCTATCGGCACACAGTAGGTGCTCAATGCTTTTGTTTACAGAGGAACAGAATAGAATGTGGCTCACTCCCCCCTCACTCACTCACTGCAGACAATAGCCTGGCTCTTACAGGGAGGGGTAAAGCATTTGGCCTTTACATCACCATGGCCATGGGGGGAGGGGGTTAGCTGCCTCTTTCTTGAGGTGGTAATGGCCACCTGGGCCAGGGTACCTCTGGCCTGGCAAGAGATGTTCCTGAGAACAGGAATCCTCCAACCCCAGGACAGATCTGAGGTTCAGGGAGTGGGGTCCACTGTGGCCAGCCAGTTCTGAAGGGCTTCCCGTCCCCGGCCGGGCCCTGTCTCTGCCCCATCAAGACAGACCCATCCTCCACGGCAGAGCAGACACCGTGTGTGACCCTCTGCTGACAGGCTGATGATATGTCAGTGAGTGCCTGCACCCCCTCCCCAGGGCTGCTGGTACCTTCCCAGGCCACTGTGTGCATGTGCCTCCCCTACCTCATCCTGAAACATAAACACAGGATCAAGTAACAGCATATTTTGACTCTGGGGCGACTGTGGAGTAGCTTATCAAATTATCAAAGCCTGTGGATTTAATTGGAATTTTGCAGATAACCCAGCCTCTTTCAAGTGTGCTGCTGCAGGGGCCGTCTGTCGATAATTCACAGGGGTCAGGGTGGGGAACCTGCCTGCTTTTCTACCTTCTAGGAGAGACAAGGTTTCTGACAGACAGACTTGGTGGGGGAGGTAGGCGGAAGCCTGAGCCCCATGGCTTTGATGCTGGGCTACTCACTTGCTCCTGTGAGTGGAAGGAGAGCCAGGCCCATCTCCAGGTTGCAAGCGGAGGCTCTTCAAAGCCACTGGCCCAGCACAGAAAGAAGGTTCTTTAAGACACCCTTAAATGGGCTCTGCACAGAGGCAGCCAGGGTGGTTGCCCTTCATGCGGCCACCCAGGAAGGTGAATGGGATCAGTGCCTTTGTAAAGAGGCTCAAGCAAGCCCCTTCCATCACTTGAGGACATGGCATTTACTCCTCCCACTATGTGACTACAACAGCTAGAATGAGCCATCTGTGAGGAACTTGCCCTCCCCAGACACCAGATCTGCTGATCTTGGACTTTCCAGCCTCCAGAACTGTGAACAATGTTTCTGTTGCTGTTAAATTACCCAGTTTTTTGCTATTACAGCTTAGCTATTACAGATAGCCTGAGACGCTCACTGTGCCCATCATCGGTCCCTCCCACTAGACCACACGCTCTGGGAAAGTGAGAACTTGTCTCTGTCCTACTCATGGCTGTGTCTCCAGCACCCAGAACAGTGCCTGTCCCAGAGCAGTTTCTCAGGGAACAGCTGGTGATGAATAACTGATG